AAATAAAAATATCCACAATGAATTGTAAATAAATATAGCTTCAATAATTTTTACTTTCACTCCCCCTTTGTTTGAAAATAGTTATTTTTGCTAAGAAGAGGTTGGTAAATGGAATTCGTGTGATGTGTGCACCCGATTTTTTTTTTTTTATTATTTTCCTGTGTTTGACCAGTATATCTAAGAATACATGTCTGAAGGACTAATATATAAATATATATAATTGCCATATATCAGTTCATATAAGTATTTATAGATCACGAGGTGCACGAAATTAGACATAGGTTAATACCGTTCAATCTTTACAAAACATTGCTAAATGAATATTAATTAGGTATGATATACCCATACAAAGTAGACCTCGCACAATCAATCATATTTTCCAAGAATGCATTTATTATGCATCAAGCCTAAATCGATTATCTCTAAAATCGGATATATCAGCAGTATTAAGGATCAACGAATCAAACATAAAAAGAGTGATAAATTTTCTTAAAATACATAGGCTATTAAATAAAACATAACTTTTATTTTATTGTGTTTTTTTTAATATTTATTTTAATATATTTAATTTTCATATGTTTTAAATATCTTTTTAATTTATTATTCTATTTATCTATTATTAATTTTTGATTATTCATTCTTTTTTATTTCTTCTCTAAATATTTTACAAATATAACCGACTCACAAGCGTTGATGACCCCAGGGTTTGGCGCCTTAAAGCCTAAATAAATAAACAAACCTATACATACTAACTTCTATACTCAGCAACTTGAGATGGTGATTATGAGTGGTCACTAGTCGATATTTATACTCGAACCCGCCATTGCGAGAATATTCAATCATTTAAGCTGAGTCTTAGTGGACTTGATTCCAGTGGAAACTCTTTTAATATTTCTTTAACCAACAAATATTGCTTCCTGTATCATGATTCGTAGCGCCTGGTGACGGAATGTTCCATATCGGTTTCTTTCTCGATGTAAAGCAATCTTTCGATCGAATCAGGTATTCGGGACTGCTATACAAACAGCATAAATACATAAATATACATATAATAAATAAATTCGATCCATCAACATATCATCACATTATTCAGCGCTACCCCTCCACTAGAGGGTACATATTATCCGAGCCGACCATTATTTCTCTTATTCATTGATCTTTCGCAATCATGGTGGGATACCTCAAGGCACGGCCCTTGGTACGTTTCGCATTACCGCGAACGCTGACGAATGGCCCAATATATCACTCACCGTGTTCCCTAATGTGGACTGTATGCTTTATTTGAAAAATGATCGCTTTTTATTCCCTTTTACCTGTAAATGCAATACATCATAAGTTAGACCATTGCAATCGTTAAAAAATTATAATCCGAGTTTTCAACAAAATACATGTTCTAGTCCAAATAACCAAATTTCGCGGAACAGCAAGGATATGCGGATCCGAGTTTATGTGAACCGTCTATTTCAAAAACTAATAGGAAACTGAAGTAACATATTTAAGGTACGGTTGTATCTGCAATGTTACAGTTATTTCTTTTCTCATATGGATTTACCCGAAATGCCATTTTATACCATTGATTTACAATTTTCTCGAAAACGGCTCTAATGATTTTGATATAAATGTACAGTTTAATGATTGTGAATGTGAACTAGGAATTATCCTCATTGATACAGTTTGACATACTACAATTGTCAAATTTTCAAAACTTCTTCCTCTCCAAAGTATCTTTTATCTTACTTAATGAATTGCTTAATGATAGTAATTGTAATTAACCGTCTTTATTCATACTAAAAATAAGTTAGTATTATTAAAAAAATGGATAAATGTAAAATATGAAAGAATTTCTTAATTAATTAAAGGAGAAAACAAATTCATAAGTTGAAAACAAAGTTCTAATAATAAGAGTATTACACAATATAATATAGAAGTGTCCCATTGGAAAGCTAAATATTGATATTAATTGTAAAAACTAATATTTAACATATTTTTTTTAATTAATTTTATTGAAATTTACAACTGTATTACATTAAAAATACAACAGGTAAATGTGACATTGGTAACATGACATGTAAAATATGAAGAGAAACTACCCATTGGTAGAACTCAAATTAAAGTTCTATATTAGAAGATCCCTAGGCCATCTTCTTTTCAGACGCCTCGGAGGGTTATCAGGGATAGAGGAGGAAGCAATGTTGGAAACAAGAGGGCTCGAATGGTTCTGCAGTTTGTTATGGAAGGATAGGTATCTGGATTGGGCCAAATCGGAAACATATGGAACATTAAGGTCTTTATGGATGATTTTGTTTGTGACAAAGTTAGGAGCGTTGAGGATTTTACGAAGGATTTTGGATTGTAAGGATTATTTAACATATTAAGTCGTAGAAAGGAGAGTGGCTGACTAATGACTAATAATTGTTGACAATATTTTTTTTTATTTCTACATTTTTTAATAGAAAAAAATATGTCGATGGAAAGTAAATGAAATTAACATAAATATTAAAAACCAGATATACCAACATAAAACTTGAGTGCTTGAGAAACCCGCAGATGAATCTTATGAAATAATCACAAGCGCTACATAGTCGAAGTGCACGAAATCAAAAGATGATACAAAAATCTACAGTGTATTTTATTATATGTGAATATTTTGGAGTTTGGAATGGAGGATCATTTGATTAACTGTATTAAAAACTTTTGATAATTCAGATAGGACTAGGATAGATATTTTCTGTTTATCTACGGAGGATCTTGTCCTGGGTAGTTTTCTACAAAACTGATTGGATTTAATTTGGAATCGAATCCGGTTTATGAAGGACTGTGAAGAAGTTTGAGCTAAAGGCAGTCATTATGCTGAGAATGATCTTATCTGTGCGTTCAATGGCTGGACCAGGCTCTGGGAAAACTATGTATGCAATTTTAAAATTAATTAGGTCCTATTTTATGTCGTTAGTTCTGTACTTAAGGACAGCAAAGAGCATGTATCAGGAGTGTATCACCATCATGTCATCAGGAGAAAGTGGATCAACATTGAAACTCGTTTCGTCGGAATTACCCGAACCAAGCTTATCCTTGTGGAGGGAAAAACAGGACCCTGGGAATCCCAAAATCCTAGACCAGTCTCTGAACAGTGTCGATGGTATTGAAACCTAATGGAGTATGAGTTAGAATATGTACTATTTTTAATTATAACGCCTGTATTTCAGCTACTAAATATTAGGACATGTTAAGAGAAAATATAAAGATTGTATCCCTATTAGTATGATTGTTGTTTTTGGTTTGTTTTTTTTACCCTTTCTCGCCTTTTACGGTTTTTTTCGTTCAGGTTTATACGTGATTTTTCCCAGGCCAGGGGAAAGAGGTTAAAGGACCACACCCAAACATTATTTTATATATTTTTTTTCTTGTTCTTCCACATTTTTTTTCTTGTTTTTTTTTAATATAAAAATATAATACATTAAAGCTGTAAGGCACATTCATACCATATTTACAATATAATAACAGTAAACAAAAATAATAATAAATGAAATACATAAAAATAGATATATAAAAATAATACTGTAAATATAACAAAGATAAGAACTTTAATAAAAACAAAGAAATATAGCTTGTAGTGAAATAATACAGAAAATTCTTCAGGAAAAAATAAATAAATAATAATGGTAATAAATAATTAAAAATGAGTGAATAGAAAAAAACAAACAACCGAAAACTAACAGTCATGCTTAATTACAATATTTACAATTAGCCAAGGGACCTCCGAGTCTAGTTCTTTTCCCCACGTGTAGAGGACATGGCTTGGCTCTAAGAGATCCCAGCGCTTCTCTCTCAGTCGCGTCTCCACATTAATTAACGTTATTTTAAATAAAATAAAGACACTAGTCCCTCCCTTCTCCCCTCCCAAAAAATTAAATCTTGGATCCGCCACTGGGACGATGAAGAAAACTAATTTCATTTTTATTTATGTTTTTACCTAGGACTCCATCTGGACATACGTCTAACTTGGAATCCTCATACCAGACTGAAACGACAAGAAACAGCTCGACGTTTCCGACTACTTCAACACTTACTAGACAAACGCTCTAACCTTCCAATTAATTATAAAAGACTCATTTACATGGCTATAATAAGGCCTATTTGGACTTACGGAGTTGAGCTATGGGGCTCCACCAAACCTTCAAATTCCTCTCGCATCCAATCCTTACAATCCAAAATCCTTCGTAAAATCCTCAATGCCCCTTACTTTGTTACAAATAAAATCATCCATAATGACCTTAATGTTCCTTATGTATCAGATTTGGCCCAATCCTGATATCTGTCCTTCCATAATAAACTTCATAACCATCACAACCCTCTTGTTTCTAACCTTGCTTCCAATTCAATTCCTGATAACCCTCCGAGGCGTCTGAAAAGAAGATGGCCACGTGATCTTCTAATATAGACATATTATTAGAGTGCTACCAATGGGTAGTTTCTCAACATGTGTTTCTTGTCAATATATGCCATGTGCGAATTTACCAGATGTATTTTTTTGTATACAGTTGTAAATATCATATAAATAAATAAATAAATAAAATAAAATAAATTTATGTGTTTATTTCTAAAAACTAAATATTTTTAAACGAGCATATTTTCGAAGAATTGCTAATTCATTTCACTGGATAAAAAAATATTTAAAAAATGAAAAACACATCTCTACTATCTGCTTTGGAAAGAGAAGAAACAAACAGTAGGGGAGTTGTTGATGAGGTTGTAGAGATGCGTAACGAGGAGGAATAGCTCAATGAGAAGCCGTACAACTGGAGTGTAATTTATTTCCGAGAACCGTGAGGGAGGGAGAGAGGGGGGGGGAGCCAAGTTTGCTAGTTAGTGCGGCCAACTTTAGCCACCAGCGACACCTCCGGCAAAAATCACTCCACACCATTCGTCTAATTATTAACATGAAACTTTAACTCACGTCATTACTGTTAGCCTAGATTACAACAACCCGCCTTGATATAATTATGCAACGAAGATTAAGGAAGCTGTGGGGTGGTGTCGAGGAAAGTACGGCTAAGGATTCGATGAAGGGTAATTAAATTTATAAATGTATCATATTATCGTGACGATAATAAGCAATGTCAACATAATTAGAGTTTAAAAAACGTTCAAAATGTACGTTAATGCGATTAATTAAGTATTGTTGACAGCAGAGAACCCTTTTTATCAAATTATTAACATCCGTCTAAAACTTGGTTAATGGTTTCATATTATCGTCTACATTTGTATTATCTACAAAAACAATCAAGCACAATTATACTAAAGAAAACTGGCCTAAATGTTTGTATATTTTGGATGTAATACAAATTTACTCTATTCAGGTCACGGTGTCCAAATGAAGAAGAAGAAGAGGAAAAAGTCTTTTTATTTATCAAAATTACATAATATAAATTACAAAATAATATTTCTGGATTTTTTTATTTTATTTTATTGAGATTTACAACTGTATTACATGGAAAATACAATAAGTAAATGTGACATTGGTAACATGACATGTACAACGTGAAGAGAAACTACCCATTGGTAGAACTCAAATTTAAAGTTCTATATTAGAAGATCCCGAGGCCATCTTCTTTTCAGACGCCTCGGAGGATTAAGGTTTCTGGATTTAAAATCGAGAATCAGACGTGCTACATTGTCTGTTGACCGTCAGAGGAGTCTATGTTTTATAACAAAATTATATTTCAATATATTTATATACAACTAATTAATAAGAAAACAAGAAAAATTATATTTAAAATGTAAAATTTATATAAATATTTTAATTACAAAAAGAGTGGTACCGAAATTCTCCAATTTATTAATTGTTAAATTCTCTGGTGAGCATTATTATATAGGGGAAAGCAGACTTGCATTAATTTACCAATGCTATCCAATTTTTTTCCATTTATTAAATCTATTACTTGATCCCGAGATAAACTTCTAGATTTTAACCATTTAATTCAGAGAGTATCGGACAAGCAGCCTGGAAGTTATAGGGATCTTCTGTTTCGTTTGTATTACACATGCTACAAATATTATTTGTTTACTTGAAGTGTTTATAATTTAAGTTCAAAAATTTAAGTTCCTAGTAAATATAAATTATCATCACAGTTAGATCGATTTATGCTGAAATTTAATCCATGCTATTCTATCAGAGTAAGTAAGTCCCTAAACCATGCGATTTCTTTTTGAATTATCTGTAGTGCTAATATTTTTGGATATCTGTGTGGTGGAAGATTCAAAAGTTTTATAACGTAATCAATTAAGACAAGGCTGTTTGCTTAGTCCGATTCTATTTTCGTCATATATAAATGATTTGGAAGAAAATTTAGATGGTGGTATTTGTGTTGAGGAAAATTGTAAAATTAGAGAAATTAAAAAAAAAAAGTAGTGGTATCCATTTGGACACCGTGGCTTGAAAAGGGTTAATTTGCATTACCTCCAAAATATACATGCAAGAATCATCGAAGATTTTTTTTATTTTTATTTATTTTTTTTTTTTTATGATTTATGATTGCGCAATGGCATTTCCAGCTGAAGGGACACCGGCCCTACGGCATGCATTATAGCCCTCCAGTGAGATAAGCCATGGAAGAAGACAAAAGGGCGGCAATATTAGAGGAAGGAGGTTGATGGCCCACTTGCTAAAAATGCAGCAGGTGGCACACTACCAATTTTTCAGCACGTGGCATAAAATAGCTTCCAAAATTTTGTTTTTCATGGCCACTCTTTGTCAAGATGAAGTTTTTTTTTTTTCTTCTACGTATTTTATTTCAATTTCTCAGTGAGCTTTGATGTTGAATCAACCGTCAATCTATAACTTCTTTCCTTAAAATGGACTTGTACATCAATCTCATTGATTTATGAATTGCCTGAGGTAGCAATAGTTATTTCGTTCCAGTGATTTCTAATAATTTTTTCGTAACCTTGTCTAAGAGAGAAAAAAAATTTAACATTATTTACTTGATTCGTACTACAATTAAATTAGTTAGAGCAAAAACAAAAAAATGTGTAAGCGGCAGTGCACCTCTATATAGGGTTAAAATAAGTTGAAGAAAAACAAAAGCTTTCATCATTCAATATAAATATTAGCAAATGGCCTTACTCGCCAGCTGTAATTTGTAAAAATTGAAAGGAATACAAATTATCAAAAAATTACTTATTTTTTTCTATTAATGTTTTTAATATTTTTTTTCTATTCTATTCGTTTTCTCGAAAATAAAAAAAAAAATACATGTTTTAATATGTTCTAACTCTATAATTTTTACTGTTACTATCTCACATTTATATGAAAATATCTATTTCTACTCAATTCACTGGATGTTGAGTGATGTCCGCACCTCACCAGTTTCACCATACACATACTTTGGGAGATAACACATAAATTATTAACTTCAGGCAATTAAAAATTGCTTCATAGTAATCTAGAAAAAATTTCCTTCAAATATAAGTAGAATTTGTCTTTGTCAAAACCATTTAAAGGTGACTTTAGAGCGGAAAAACTACAGGAAGTTTTTTTTCCATTAAAAAAAATGATATGCAATTAAAGCTTATTAAACAAGGACAGCAAAATTTTCAAACATCAAACGTATCCAATCCTTTCAATTTAAGTCCTTCGAACAATATTTAATACTCCATTTTATGTAACCTACAAAACCCTACATCATGACCTTAATATCCTATTTGTCCTAGACCTTATCCCCGAAAAATTCTCCAAATTTAACGAGAACCTTACCTATCATCCAAATCCCCTTGCACAATCCCTAGCCAGCACCACCCATCCCTACTATCCTCGAAGGTTGAAGCAGCAGTGGCTTAGAGGGATCTCCTTGAGTCATGCCTTTCCTTCCACTAGTGATGAGACAGGTTTTTTTTTTTTTTTTTTTTTTTTTAAGATATTGTATAGAAGCATGTATATATTTGAGTTGTCACTTTCATTAGCTTTTTGTTTAGTTTAGTTTATATTCATTTACTTGTAGTATTTTTATTTTTCTGTATTATTTATTTTTATTTATTGGGAATGGAGTGTTTAAAGTGCTCTTTGAACACTATTATAAATGTCCTTCATTGTGACAGATTGTAATATCTCTTAATAAATAAGTTTAATTAAACAAGGAAGTTTTTATAAAAATGGAGTATCTGTAGTATAGTTGTAGGAAAATAAACAAAAAAATGCTAATAATCCATGATTTTATGAAAAAGACATATTCGCGTTGTTTGGACGCTCAAAAGTACCCTTTAAATGGTTTTGACGAAGACAAACTCTACTTGTATTCTAAGGAAATCTCTTCTAGTTTCCTATGAAGTAATTTTGAATTACCTGAATAAAATACTTTTTGTGTTATAGCTTCCTATGAAAGAAAAAACGCGACCATCTTAAGAAAAGAAAATATTGGATTCTACTCATTTTCCGTTCCAAGCCAAATGAAATGTTTTGTTAAACATTTTGTCTAAAATCGCCTCTCTGAGTTTAGCCATTAAGAACTGAGATACCCTGTATATAATATAAATTTTATTTCTATTATGTATATATTTATTTATTTTAGAAACGTTACTAGTCCATACTTATATATATTGTTACGTTTAGTATTGTCTTTTGTATGAGACTATACCTCCATTTTTCCAACTGTAAAAAAATTACGAATTACGAGAAAAAGAGAAATATATATATACGGAGGAGAGGGGGGACTAAGAGGTTCAAAATACTGCATAACTCATTTCAATCGAATTTTCTGCTCGTGAACAGCTGTTTTTTTTTTTTTTTTTTCTTGAAAAATTCAATGACATCTCTTTTTTCATGATCGTATTTCAATCAGTATTTGAGAGGAGAGAATGATGGCTGATTTACAGCCCAAGTCCTGTGTTAGATATTCCATAGCCAATATTCAGAAAATTAGCTGCAGATGAAAAATACCGCCCGGCCCCGACCAGCGGTCTCGTAAAAAGACAGGACAAAGGCTCCCATCAAACCACAATGCACGACAACAAATCTCCCTGATAAATACACCCCCTTCTGCATTACCCTTATTTATTGCTCCGTTTGAGTCCCAAAAGTGTTTTATTCGCCCGATGATCAAAATCATTTTTGAAGCCTAACCGTGTATTCCAACAGCGTCAGATTTATGAGTACACCCCTCAGATATACTGCCACCCCCCTCCCCTCTTCTCCCTCCCCCAACCCACAATACCGCTAACCCCTTTTTAATATAATCCTTTGTTACCGCTTTGTGCCAGTGAAGTATCTAATTATTGAAGATTTAAGACAATTTATTGATAATTATCGATACGCATTGTCAGCCTCTAAGTCCTGATAATTCATTATGGTTAAAAAATACTTAGGTATTTTTATTTTCTAAAAAATCTACAATCACTACAACCCATGAAGGATCATGATTTCTGTACTGAAAAAGAAACTCTTGATTATACGTTGGTTTGTCCGAAAGATAATGCAGGATTTAATTATCTATTTAACTATTAATTTAATAGTTTCATTATACTAACCATCTATATAACAATTTCTTTGTATGGGTGTCAATACTTATGAATCCTCTTCCAAACCAAAAAAATTTTAAGTTCCGTAGCATTTCACCTGTTGGAAATAATTTAGTCTTTACTAATATTTCCATGCCTGATTTTCGCATATTTTCGTTTTACGAATTTATAATCAGTTGGAACGGGATCCGAACGGCAAGGAATATTAACGAAGTGTGGTGCAATGGCAGTGTGAGCGAGCGCACAGTTGAACGATGGTTTAAAAAAATTCGGGACGGAGACTTTAGCCTTGAAAACAAAGATGGTGGTGGATGGACTTGATGACGATGTTTTGCGAGCTTTGGTAGCAAAAAATTCCGGAACAACTATTCGAGAAATTGTATAGAAACCCTCAGTTTCCCAATCGAAAATCGCACACCACCTCAATGCACTTGGAAAGGTAAAAATGTTTGAAACTTGAGTTCCTTGAGGGTTAAAAACAGCCAAAAAAAATCTTCGTTATAAACTTACCGCTGCACTTCTTTGCCAAAAAGAACCAATCTTTTCCGCCCTGCTGT